ATATAATCATAAGGATGCCTATTTTTCAGCAAATAATCATTCAGACTCGCGTACTATACTACAGTGTATACAGTGATGACAACAACTAGTGAGATCGGGTCGCAGATCAGAGGTGAGACATTCAAAAAGAACGAACCGGAACAGATGAGGTAGAGCAGTGAACTAGAATTCTTTACAAATTTGTTCTCTTCGTGGCCTGTCGGGAAAATTCTGACAGCAAGCGTGGGGATACAGGCATTGAAAGGCAGCATTCACGTTCAGTATGGAAATATTGACTCCATTGAAGAGTTCCTTGTAACCTCTGGTTCAGTCAGCTTCAAGCTATTTGTTTTTGTCGCATTTACAATGTTTGCCCTTACCCTTTTCCGGCTTTCGTCATCTTCGGGCGATACAGGGGATGAACTTGACGACACAGACGAATGATATCCGGACAATCCCATATTCTGCACAATGGATTTCTCCAGCTATTCCATTGAAATGGAAGTGATACATTCATGTACAATTTGGCGAGACCAAACAAGTTTTCTATATGGTGTTTTTACGCCTACGACACCTGTGAGATGGTAACCTACTACCGAGGCGAAGGAGCATCGATGTAGCTCTCTGCGCTGGAACACCAACATATTAGGTCTCGGTGGAGAAAATCCACGACAAAAATAGCGAAGGGACGGTGCATCGGTAATATAGATATTAACGACTGTACTCTTTTTATGAGACATTGCTTGATCGGCACAGTTAATGTACGCTTCTATCGAGAGTGATAATCCATCCGTACCGGTTTTGATTGAAACTGATTCACTGTTCAGGTTGGCCGTTGAGTTTCTAAATGACCTGTTAAGCGAAATTTGATTCTGTAGGCGAAATCTAGGAAACTGAATTCAACGAGAGTTCCTACTGTTCTCATTTCCAGTACAATATCATATGTACTGCATTACGTGCTTATGTCATTTGTTATTTTTTAGGTGCAAAAAGCAGAGCGCTTTTGGCTGCGTGGATTCGTCGTGACAAAATGCTGATGGAGTCTCTTTTGGAGTTACATGAGGAGTTCACGGTCCTCGAGCTTCTAAAGGTCGCAACGTTGCTGGACTCTGACCGCAGTTCGCGATGTCTAGAAAGACGGATGGCTTGTCTGAAGCGCGAGAGCGCGAAGGCTGGTCAAAAGGGTAAAAGTCGCTTGGGCAGGAAGATCGACTACTTAAAAAGGGAAGTGAACAATCGGAACATGCTTAAGATTGAGGTACAGTTTTGTTCATGACGGACCTGATGAGTGTACAGATTCTGAATTATACTATAATAGATAGAATAAAATTTTCAGCATATCTTTTATAATTATATACTATTATATT